CCCAACCGTGCCCTTGACCCCCCCGGGGGGGGGGCCAGCCCCAGCCTCTCTGGGCAACATATTCCAGAGTCTTGCCACCCTCGTACTGAAGAATTTCTTCCTAAGATCCAATCTAAATCTATTCTCCTTTAACTTAAACCCATTTCCCCTTGTCCTATCGCTGGACACTCTTGCACAAAGTCCCTCCCCAGCCTTCCCTTCAGGCACTGCAGGCTCCCCCTGGAGTCTTCTCTTTTCCAGACTGAACAACCCCAGCTCCCGCAGCCTGTCCTCGTAGCAGAGCTGCTCCAGCCCCTGGATCATCCTTGTGGCCTCCTCTGAACACGCTCCAACAGATCCACGTCCCTCTTACGATGGTGACACCAGAACTGGACGCGGTATTTGAGGTGGGATCTCACCAGAGCAGAGTAAAGGGGGAAACAAAGATGCTGGAGACAGGGATCAGAGCAGCAAGCTCTGGCTGTTGGAGGGTACCTGCTCCTCACCCCACAGCCTGGCACCTCGTGCGAGGCTTCAGCTTGCTGTGGGCCACCTGCAGCCGCCAAGATTCTCTGCTTTCTGTGCCCCAGTATGGCGCGAGCTCCCAAGGACAGAAGCATTTTCCACCATCCCCGTTGCAAACCATCAGAGCTCAAGTCAATTCTGCTTGGCTTGCCCCGTGGGCACAGGAGGGATCTTTCACCTACAAGGGCCCGAGAGCACCACACTCGCGCAGAAGAGTCTTCATGGATAACTGTGTTTATGTCCTTTTTGTTTGAAGGAACAAAAGAAGTAACCTGGGGAAGAGGCTGCAGTTTCTGCACCAGGTGCTGTAAGGTGACTGTTGCACAGAGCCCGCCAGCCAGCCCTGGACATACAAGAAATGCACCAGCTGCTTCCTTGACAGATAAAATCCCAGCCTCCTACAAATCCCTGTTAGAAGCCGGTTTCACTTCGGTTTAAAGAGAAAGAAATTCAAATTTCAGTCAGTCAGAGACCCCTGTTTAGCTGCTTGGTAGGGCCTCCTGCACGTCTGCCTGCATGTAACTTCAGCCCCACTTCGCCCACGGTGCGCAAACAGCACGGATGCGAGCGCTCAGGAGAGAAAAAGCTCTTTGCAACCTTGAGAAGCAAAGCCAGGCACCCAGGGTGCAAGGATCACGCTCCTGCCCAGCAGCAGCTGCGCTTCACTCCATCTGCCCATCGCAGCTCGCAGCGCCGCGATTAGGGCACGTTGGCTGGGAGCAGAGGTATTTTTAGCTCAGAGCCTAAATTCGCATCACCGGGCTGGAATGAGTCAGACCAAAGCGTGAATGGTGCCGGTCCATCCCCAAGTCTCGGCGGGAACTCACCGTCAAGTGGGTGGGCTCATGCCAAGCATGAAATACTTATCGGGGTGGCAGCAAGAGGAGGGTAATGACTGGCAGGGTGGATGCTCGCCTCTGTCGAGCCGGCAGAGCTTAGAAGCTTTTTGGCTGTGTTGAATGGTTGCAAAAACCCAGCACCTCTAAGTTTTAGTTAAGAGGTGTTGAAATCTGCAGACTTTGTTCTGCACTGCTCTGCCACGGCGGCTGGTGTGTACGTTACTTTATGCAGGGACAGGAGAGCTGCGCGCCGCAGTACTTCGTCGGTGAACAATAGAACCGCGGACAGCCCCAGTTGAGAGCTTTATTCTGGTTCAGCGTCTCCTACAAGAGTCTTTTGAACATGAACCAATCTTTCATCCACAAGGATCAAGTTCCTAAAGATTTTATACCCAGAGTTCCTATTCTTAGAAAAAAGGAGGCATCTTAAAACAAGGCTATTTTCTCCGGATGTAAATGATCCAGACTGGGAATCTTGAAAGACTATTGCCGCACGTGGCCAGACACACACCCTTGCTATGGTATAAACCAGCAGCAAGATGGATTCAATCGTCATCATCATCTAGGTTATTCCACCTCTGCCCTGGTGTGCACCACCAGCCGCTTGCTGTGCCGTGAGAAGTCACCAGCCCTGAGGATGCTGGAAGCCCTTGACGAGGTTTGGGGTCTGGCCGATCCTTGATGCTCTTAGGATGGTCTGTACTGGAGGAGGTTACTGCCGAGACGAAATCAAGGTGAGCAGCAGACTGAGTTGGTGTTAAAATACAAGAGACCAGGACAAATACAAAAGATTTCCTCGGTTTTCCCTCCTACAAGCTGTTGGCCTGCTCCGAGCCGAAGCCCAGGTGGTCAAGGAAGGAAACGGCCGGTGGAGTTGCAAGGGGGTGGAGGTGTCAGCAGCGGAAACACAAAAACAGAAGCTTCAGCGGATGCAAGTGTTTGAAATCTGTTTATGAGACCTGACCCACTTTCTCCCATATAGCAGCCAAGGAGGCTGGCAGATCCCGCACACCCCCAGCACCCCGAGTGACGGACTGTGCTCCCGGGCTCTTGCTGAAGAGAAGCCTCTTCTCGCCTGAGCCCTGGCAACGGCTGCGGATGCTGCCGCAGAGAAACCGCCCGGTGCTCCCCTGCTCTCCCCGCGAGCTACCAGCATGTTCTCTTATCACCAATTCAGGCAGGCCTGGGCAAGCAGGTCTGGAGCTGGCAAACCTCCCTGCACGGGGAGCATCGCCTGGCAACTCCACATTCTCTAACATTTTCTTCCGGAGGGAGAAGGGGGCACACAGCAGGCTGCAGGCTCGCCCGTGCCCTTCCTCCCAACCTCACCCTCCGCTAGCCGGCACCACAGCACCCAGAGCCACGAGAAAATACCGATCCTTCCGATTTGAGCTGCAAAGAGCCCGGGAAGGCCCGGTTTGGGCTCCCGGGGCAGAAGGCGTCACTGAGAGCGGCACCGCAATGCAGGGAGGGGGAAAGGCTACGCCAGCTCGCTCAAGAGTGGAGGGAGGACTGGAGGAGGTGCAGAGGTTGTTCTCATTCGAAACCCCACAGTGAAATCAAGTCATAAGGTCCGACAGCTGCTATTTTTTAACCCCGCCTCTTGCGCACTCCATCTTTTATATTCCAAAATAGTAATAATTACGAGTACAAAGAGACCTACGGTTTCTGTCTGCAATTGAAGCGCGAGGGTGTTCATTGTGTAATAGCAGACATGAGCGAAGAAGAAGGTCATGGGGTTAGTAATCAACAGGCACACGCTTTTTTTCCTCTGTGAAATACAGCAGCTTTTGGTAGAATCACTTGGCTCCTGTCCAGAACCTCTTGAACATGAGCGAAGCTGCTACGCTGGCCCTATTCCACGTTTTTACGCTCCCTCATCCTTCAGTGGTAGTAAGGCCATACGCACAAGTAGGATGCTCACAGAGGCAACCAGACACGGAGCTGAACGAGACAGAGTGCGATCAAAACGCATCAATATATCAGCTAAGAGCAGCAGACCAAAACTCTTCTCATGTGGCCTGTCCTCCACAGATGTCCAAACATTTCATAGCGTACGTAGCGTTGCTCGTTCACAAGAGGGAGGAGAAAGTTGCTGAAAGGTCCCAGGATTATGCAGGAGGTTAAAGCCAGGGCTGGAACACCTGAACCACCCAGCAGCAGGACAGGATGGCTGAACAGCCCCAACACCACGTGCAGCTCTACTGAAAGGAGCGGCTTCAGGAAAAACAAAGGATAAAAGAGAAAACAAGAATACAAGGTCCAGAATGAAAGGAAAAAATAGGTAAAACCTAATATCTGGGATTTCAGACGCACTTTTATGGAGACCTAGATAAAGATTTTGCCTGAAACAAGCGCTAGGATCCACGGCTGTTCTGTTCACAACTGCAGCACCCATCGAACCGTTAGGCATAGACAATGCTATTAATAAGGTGATGTCTTAGGCTCATGCATGAAAAGCGCTCTCAGCGTGGTAGAATTAAGCTACTCACCAGCATTCAGGTGACAGTCTTTAATCTGGAACTGAAGCTCGTTTTCATTAGGAATATCCTTCCATGTCGCAAGGAAGACCTGGCGCTCTAGAAATGAGAAAGATGATCAGCACTCCTGGATCCTCACAGGACTGTAGCATTAATTAACTCGCCACAGAACGTTACGAGGCAGACACACAAAAGATATTCTGGTCACATTTGTGCCTCGCCATGGAGAGATCCCAGATTTGCTCCTGTAACCACCGCAGTCTCACTGCAATAGCAGCAAAGCTTTGGTGGGTTTTGGAGCGTCCAGCCCAGAACCAGTCTTTACCATACGAGCTGTTCACAAACCAAGATCAGGCAGGACTTGACGAGAAGGAAGGTGATCCACATTTAGCAATACGTAAGTGAAAGCTGCTTTTCGAGCAATTTCCCAGTCAGTTCAAACAACATTTCAATAAAGGTGACCAGGAATACACAAATTACAGTGGAAGTGGGATGGGGGAAAATTCTAAACTTGAGGGAATGAAACCCTCAAACAAAACGCACACATAAAAAAAATCCAAACTAAAACAAACAGTGAAAAAATCAGCCTCAGAGAAAACAGATCCACTTCTTGTCCAGCAGAGAGAATCGGAGCAGAGGACTTGGGTTCTGGTAACTATTGGAGTTGCAGGACAAGGAGGACAGGCTGCCAAACCAGATGGGTTCAGGCTGCTGAGATGCGCTGGCGTGAAGGTCACGGCCAAGCACACGTGAATCTCAGCGCAGGACAACTGCACCCAGCCGGGTGCTGCCAGCACAGCCCGGCCGAAGGAGGCTGAGCACACACCTAAGAGCACTCACCCATTTTGCCATCCTCGACAAAAAGCACGTTGAGAGGAATTAGGCAGCTGAAGTAGAAGACATCAATGTTGTTTTTCACAGCCACCTGTTACAGAAGAAATGGGGGGGGATTAAAGTGCCTCTATGGTCGTCTGGAAGTCCAAAGGGAACCCGAGATGGCAGCCTCATCGCCTGCCCGCGCGCCCTGGAGCGCTCTCTCCAAGCAGGTGAGAGCACCTGCAGAGATGCTACCGAGCTTCTGCGCAGTTTCAGACAAGGCTCAGCCCCAGCCCTCTGTGCTCACTCTGTTTCCCCTGAAAGCTGCTCCCGAGCCCACAGCGCTGCTGGGCTCACAGCCAGCCCCCTTGCCCTGCTCTGCTCCTGTTCAGCCTCTCTCCTCACTCCTGCCACCTCTCTCGGCTGCACACGTCATCTCGGCCATATCGTACGTGAGCTTCTTCATCACTCCTCTTTGCTGCCTCAGCCTTCCAATTCCCCAGCCCCAAAGCCCTGTGTATTCTTTATTTTCATCTCCATTTCTTTATTTTTCATCTCCTTGATCCGTCCTATCTCAGCCCAGACACCGTCCAGAAAGCCTGAAGTGGGTCCATTGCCTGCACCTTCCTTGCAGCACCTCCCAAGCCTCCTGCCTTTATCTCAGCGAGAACTACGGAGCCAACACGTGCCAGGAGTCAATCCCTGGAAGAAGAAAGCCCTGCTACAGAGCAATCAGCGTGGGTAAAAAAAACCCAACAACTTGAAAAAATAATTCTCAGTGTCTTTAAACTCCAGGGAGATGCACTGGATTGCCTTTTATCACACATGCCTGCCACATTCCCAACTAATCCCTGCCAGCACAGAGAGCAGGGAGCACACTGGAGGTCTGAGAAAGTGCACTGCCACAAAACAGCACAGCAAAAGGTGGCCCTGGGCTTTATTTCCATGCCTCTCACACTCTCCTCACATCATCCCACGTACCGATAGCCCGTCATGGGAGTATAGTTCAGCAGACTCTCGCCACTGCCTGCAATGAAGGAAACTTAACCTGTAAGAGAAACCTCGAACTGAGGTTGTGCAGGAGCTGTTTGAGCTCCTGCTTCCTTTGAAAAATTCCAGGAGTTCCCCAATTTGTCACCCAGCTGAAACACAAACCAGACCATGCTAAACGCTGAGCCAAAGAAATAAATTTGCTGCTAAAAAAAAAAAAAAATAATGCCAAGACAAACTCCATTCACTTTAATAATTACATATATTAACAGCCTGCTGAGAAAATCTATTGTCCCACAGAGGCAAGTTTAGAAAGATGTCCCCAAATATCAGTAAAAACAGCTGCGGGTAGGCAAGGGAGGGGAATAAACCAGAGAATTCAAACACAAGTCTGATTAGACACGCATGCAAGTCAGAGCACAAGCAGGAGATCAAGCTCCTGAACAAACTCTTCTCGCTATTGGGCAGGTCCCAGAAGCGCAAAGAACGGCAGCGAGGGAGATGTGGCCGTCCATGGGGCTTCTACTTTCAGTTATCGCTAAAGGTAGCAGCTTATATTTAATTTCCACAGCGCAAACCAGCTTAAGAAAGGATTAGTTTAAAGCCCACTATAACCACGTAAACGGTGGCGCAACCGAGAGAAAAAAGGCAACGGTTCCTCTGTAACACGTTCATTAAGCTGTTACATGCTTCGATTGCTGGCGTCATACTCGCGAGCTGGAGTGTTTGAGCTAGAGGCACCAAAGCCAGAGGGGTAAAAAGCAGATTAGTGGATGGACTTCACTGATTCATCCCTGCAAAATGCGATTGAATCGACTGGGTGAGTGGCCAGAAGCACATCTCTGAGTCTGGGAGGGGAGAGCTGGGGAAGGGACAGCAAGCAGCGCCGCCATTTCAGTTGCCAGGCCTGGATATAAGTCATGGGGATGGCCAGAAGAGGGAAAATTTGGGCTAAACATCTGGGAAAACTCAATAGTGAGAATTATTAAGCAGCACAAAATTCTCCTGAGGAAGAGCGAAGCTCCAGCGCTCGGAGTATTTCAAATCAGCCTTGACAATGCTCTCGGTAAGAGGAACTGTAGCAGAACAACAAAGCATAGCAGGGACCACACGGCGTGACCCAAGATCTTTTCCAGCTCTGATTTAATGATTAATTGCCTTGCCTTAGAACAACAGAGATTACTTCGCTTTTGGAGCTAATTGTTGTTGCCACACAACAGCAGCTTCTTACAAGAGGGGCTGGAAAGCAGCGCCTTCTCTCCAGGCACGGTTCTCGAGGCACCCTCCAAATTAATATGCTAACCCTGTCCCTGCAGTTACAAGGATGCTATAAAAAGGTATCTGCTGACCTGCTTCTCAACTCTGCAGAAACACACTGAGTAAGCTGCTTTGGCTACACTCTGGAGAGCTACCCAATTAAGATGCTCTGAAGTGCAATTTCTTCCCAGAAAAGCAAAGGCAGCCACACGCCAACCTTCCTCCCAAACTGCATCACTGCGTTCAGGAAAGACATCATGTGTCACCTTGCAACTCCCCGTAACGATGCAGAAACCAGCCGTTACAAATGGGTTTTGCCAACAGGAAAGGAAAAAGCTACGGTCTCCTTAAGCCTGTAGCACTGGGGCAGAACTGGTCAGCTTTTCAAGAGTCGCTTCCGTCGTGCGTTGCTTCCGCGGCGTGACACCATGTACTTCCCCTGAAGGGTCAGGAACGTGCTGTTGCTGCTGTGGTCCTTGACCTGGTCCGTGAAAAGGCACCTGCAGATACCTGGATGAGGAAACTTGCACCACGAAGAGGCTAAGAGGTCCTGCCAGCTGCTAGCAGCTTTCCAAGGTCATGCTTCAAGCTTCACGCTGCTGCATCGGGAGCACCCCTGGCCATCTGACAGGCTACTAACGCAACCACAGGCAGAAAGATCTGCAGCAGCCTCTGCGAGAACAAGTAACAGCGACTGGCCAAAAACCCACAGTGCTCCTTCAAGTGGGAATATCAGCCTGAGATACTCAGTGGCATTTTTAAACGATACCAGAATCTGAGAAGTCTCTCCAGGTTTGACACGCTGGAAAGGAACCTCTACTTGTATTCAATAAACTCTTCAGCCCAGACTAACTTTGCCGGTGGCTCTGCAGCTTTAACCTGCCAACCTGGGCACGAGCTATTAAATCTTTAACAAGACCTTCAATTTCAGCCACCTGAGAGTTGAAACTGAAACAGCTTAAATAAAAATGGCTTTCCATCTGCAATCTTTTCAAAAGGAGAGGGAAAAAAAAAATAGTATTACAACCTTGTGAATTTAGTCAAGCAGACTACAAAGCTTCCGAGAGATGAAAGTCAAAAGGTGACAGATTTTCATGTGATGCTTCACTGCTGAAAGGTGTGAACCTCTAAAATCTGGCACAAGTTTCCCAATCACTTACATCTTGTTCATGATCTGAGCAGAGGAAGCAGTTAATAACCCCGGGAAGATATTTGCTCGCCTTCCAGGATGAGCGCCCTTCTGTCACCCTTCCTTGCAGTGCGACCCTCTGCCAGCCACCACACGGGATTTGGGGGAAGAGGAACC